AGGAGGTGGGCACCCTCCAAAAAGCAGTGAGGTGGTGCAGAGCTGGGTTTTGTCCTGTGAAAGAGTATGGTTAAAGAAGACCTGAATCAAGCTGTGTCATTCAGGCTTCCTCCAGCATTGAGCAGGGGTGCAGCAGCCCTGGGGACCCCCAGCTCTCACTGGAGCATAGTGCACCATAGGCTGCAGCATCCATCACGTGTGCTGGCAAGACACAGGTTTGCTGCTGCTTTTTTCAGTACTCCAAATGCCAAGCCGTCCCCAAACCTGGCCCTGGTCCCTGCAGGATGTCTTCATTTGTCATCTGGCTCACAGTGGAAAGCCACTGAGTTGGGAAAACTTGTTACTGGACGGAGGATGAAAAACCACATCTCCTCTTTTGTGAAGAAGCGTGATAAGAGGAGAATGAGAGCCCGGCTGCGTGTTGCCATCACGCTGAAATAAAGAGCTTTCTGCAAGAGAGGGTGGTGGGGCTCAGTGGGTTTGCTTTGCCTTTTTCTTCTCTGACAGTTCATCACTAAGACAGAGGCTCCTAGGGATTTCAGACACCTGGCTCTCAATTAAACAGCTAATCTGTGAAGCAAGGCACTTAAAGCAGGGAGGAAAAAAAGCAGCCCTGGCCTTGGGCTGTTACCAGATTGAATATCAGTGTTTTGAAGGGATTCCTGGATGTTTGTGGCAGCAGGGACTGTGACACTCTTTCCAGCTGTGCTGTCCTAGGACAAAGTGCTAGCGGTGGGTATCTGTGCACCCCTGAGTGCTGCAGCATCACTGGGGCCATGTGCAGGCAGGCACGGGCTCTCCTTAAGCATGGGAGCTGTGTGGGACCTCAGAGTAGTCCTCACACCTCCAAGAAATGGCACTGGGGATCTTTGACTTCTTGGGTACAAAGCTCAGTCAATCCCATGCTTTCTTCTCAGTCTGGCAAACAGGTTTCCTCGTGCCATGCATAGCAGGGTGGTGAATCCATGGAGAGCTGTGGTCCTGGCATCTGTGGTAGGGGTAGGCTGCAGGGGTGATGGTCAGGGGATGGTGGGAGAGCCCTGAGGTGGCACAGCATACCTGCAGATGGATGTGTTTATGGGGTCACTGTGGTGTGGCTTGAAGGAAGGAACTTATGACAATCTCATCCTTAAATGTCCAAAAGTCTCCTATGTCATTGGGTGCGTTTGGGAGCGGGAGGTGTGGTTATGATGTTTCTGTAAGCTTTGATGAGGCTGGTGGCACACACCCTCCAGACCTCTCCTGCCTGGGCCTCACTTTCCCTTGCAGAAAATCGCAGTCATCTGTGCTTGGTGTTCTCTGAGGTTCTAAAGGTGAAGGACCCCTGTATGCATTCGTCTATGTCCAAGTGTTATTACTACTTGCCTTCTGTCTTGTTCTCTTCCAACCCAAGTCTGTCTTGTTGCAGTTGTGCTTGGGGCATGAAAGGTAAAATAATAGCTGTGAAAATGCATCTACTGAAGGCTGATAGTTATTAGAATATTGATCTATAACCAGTTATATGTGTCTCTGCTGTGTGTATTTTCCTATTCAGGCATGTCACTCATGTCTGAGTTACTCTGCTCTGAATCATGCCCACTGGTTTTTATATGGCCTGTCAAAGAGACGATGGCATGAGAAGACACTGTACTTCATAGCACTGCTCTGGTGAGCTGTGCTGTTTCGCATGGAAAGGACACTAAGCCAATGTGCCTGATGGTTGTGCTGAATGTAATCTGGGCACGACAAAGTGCTCTGATGGAAGGCAGTTAGTTGGAGTATGAAATATTAATATGCAATGATTAAGGTGTCCTTTTTCAGTTGTTACAGTAAGAGGGGACCAATGAGTGATGTGAAATGAATATTGTGTGTGAGAAGAAGCCCCGTATGAACAGGACAGAGGAAGCAAGGGAGGCTGCGTTCTCCAGGGGATGCCAGGCTTGCACAGGGCAGCAGAAGAGCACTTTGCACAGCGGTTTTGAGCAGTGACCAGTGGTTTATCAGCTGCAAAGCGAGAGGAGTGCAGGCTCTCTGTTAGGCTGAGGACAGTGCTGGTGGTGCTCCAAATCTCAGAGCAATGCTGTGCTAGGAGCTCAGAGTCCCAGCTCCTCGGCCTTATGCAGAGCTCCCTGCCCAAGCCCCGCTCCCTGCCTGGGCAGGGACAGTGTCAGTGTGCAGCTGGCACTGGGAGAACACCTCATCTGCAGAGACACTGGGGCCTCGCTGGCTTCCTCCCAAGTCTTTCCCAGCAGCGTGGCCATTGCCTTGCTTGACCTTGAGCTTGCCACCTGGTGACCCCATCCCATCACTCATCAGGCACAGGCACATCTCCTGTGCAGACCCGCAGTGTCCTGACATGGCCCCAGAGCCACTGGGACTTCCACCAGGGAGCCAAGGGCAAGGCTCTACCAAGGGAGGTGGATGCTGAGCTCCCCACTCCATCACTGGTCCCTGCAATGGGTGGTAAAAGTGACTTCTCCCATTGCCAGCTTCTATAGGCACAGGCTTTATGAGGCTGTAGGGATGCAGCATCCCAGGCGGGGAGAAGAGGAGACAAGCACGTGCTTTTCCAGCTGCGGGAAGCAGTGGGGAAGGCCACAGGAGCCAGACGAGGAGGGTGAAAGGTGGGACAGGGAGCAAGGACCTGGGAGAGGTGCAAGTTCCTCTTCAGCCCCTACCTCCATGGCGACCAAGGTCGTGGAGGAAAGGATTTGGAGAAGTCTTTCCCCAAGGGAAGATCCATCTGAGAAACAGCTCAACTCCATCCAGCTTTTATTTTTAAGCAAACCCATAGAGCAAAGTGTCCATTGACAGCAGCAGAGCTGGCTCATGCTGCACCTGACGAGAGGCTGCAGACACTAGATTTGGGGGAAAATCACATGGTTTATGCCCCACACCCCTCCATTCTACCCAAATCCCCCAGACAGCCTTTTCTGTTCTCATGCACAGAGGCAGCTTAACCCGTGTTCCTCCTACACAGGCTTAAGGAGTTCAGTGCCCTGGTATACTTGGTGTTTGCAATGGCAAGCAGCTGGTCAGGGGTTCTGACTGTTGCAGTAACGCACATCTGGGCTGGTGAGGGTTCAGGAAGGGTTTGGGCAAACAGCAGCCTGGCTTTTCCCTAAGCTGGGACTGGGCGGGATAGGAGCAGTAAAACTCTTCAGTGATGGGGTGTGAAGACAGAGACAGTGTAGTAGTATATTTGAGCACTAGGTTTTGTTTTGAGGAAGAAGGCATTCTCCCTGCCTGCGTGTGGCTGGGTCAGACCTGGAAATAGTGTGGGTCAGTCTTCTCTATTGTCTGCTTTCGAGCTGGACTGAAGTTCCAAAGCCTGGAGGCACAGAGCCAGTGACAGGAGCCCTGATGCTTGTCTGTATGGGTAGAAGTACCCTCAGACAAAATGGGACTATGGACAGGAGCAGCCCCTGCTGGGTATCACAGAATCATAGAATTAACCAGGTTGGAAGACCTTTAAGCTCAAGTCCAACCATTCCCCTGCACTGCCAAGGCCACCACATGGCACTGAGGGCCTTGGCTACACGGGGTGTGAACACTTCCAGGGATGGTGACTCCACCACTGCCCTGGGCAGCCTGTATCCCAAGGGGCATCACATGCCAGAGCATCACATGCTGACAGTGTCAGTGCCTCGGGCAGGCTGGGCTGCGAGCAAGGGGCTGGGGACTGGATCCACGGGAGCTGCACCTATGCAGATGGGCAGCTGCACCTATGCAGATGGGCAGCTGCCACTGTCCCCAGCTTGTACCCAGACAGACTTGGTCTTTAAGCCTAGAGAGCCAAAACCCCAAAGGCAAATGGTGCTTTAGCTCTGCCCAGTGCCAGGGCAGATGCTGGGGACTACCAGGGAGGTGATACCATGGGACTATGGTAGCAGTGCATCCCCTGTGCCAGGCTCAGTGACCACCTGGAGTTGAGGGGACACTGGTGGCATTGCCCAGGTGCTGGGAGTACCTGTAGGTGCTGCTGAAAAGAGCTGGGAAAGAGCAGCAGCACCTCCATGTGCATCATAAAATACCTTCCATAGCTCTGAGCTGACTTTTCCCAGGTAACAACCACATGTTATGTCTGGATCATACAATAGCGATCCTAAAGCATCCCCTCTCTTTCTGGAAGATGAAAATCAAACCGATGTCTTTGGACAGCTCTGATTTTCTCTGCAGAAATGCAGTTGGGCAGCCAGACTAGCTTTAATTTCACACAATATCCAGTCCTGTCCTTGGTACTCTTAGTCCTCGGAGCTGAAGCCTATGCTCAGAGGCTGCCTAAAAATACCCTAGGCAAGAAACTTGGAGGATTGTGCCTTACAGCTATGGGAAGCGGGTTGGAGTGGCTTCCAGCTGATCTGGCTGATGCCTTCGCCATTTCCAAGCTAACAGTGACACCTCCTGTTAGCGCAAGATTCTGCTCAAAACCTAGCATGCAAATGCACAGGCAGGCAGAAGAGAGCAGATACCGGATAGAAGCACATGGAGCTGTTTGCCACTTGCATCCAGAAAACTCAAATCCTTTCCCAGCTGCAAGTGCGGATCCACAGGGACGAGGCTGTCCCTGTGCATGGTGAGAGCTGGCCTGTGCTGGATGGTACTCAGCTCAGGAAAGCTTGGTAAGGTGGGCATGAGCAAAGGTGCTGAGTACAGACTGCTTTCAAAAGAGCAGTCCTTTGAATTGTAATTAAGTATGGAGAGGTAGAAGCTTTTGTATAATAGTATTAAAGCTTTATGTAGGTGTAAAATGCATTTAAATCTTGTTTTGGCCATTAAAAGCGACCAGCTTGCACCCAGAGTGTCAGCCTGATAAATAGGTTTCCAACAAGAGCTGTGACAGTCACCTCCCCAGTACACAGGGGGTCTCTGGAGATGGGACCCCCTCAGCTGTGACTTGCTGATGTTGAGGAACTGGTTCCTTTGCTCCAGGCTTACTGTGAGATTTATCCCTCACCCCTCTGTGTAAGACTCCAGCAATCCCCTTACACACCTCCCTGACCATCGGTTTGTTCATTCAGGTGTTCAAGATGTCGTTGAAGGTGCAGACGAGCAACATCACGAACAAGAATGACCCCAAGTCCATCAACTCCAGAGTCTTCATTGGCAATCTCAACACAGCTGTGGTCAAGAAGTCAGATGTGGAGACCATTTTCTCCAAGTACGGGCGAGTGGTGGGCTGCTCGGTTCACAAGGGCTATGCCTTTGTACAGTACTCCAACGAGAGGCACGCACGTGCTGCTGTCCTGGGTGAGAACGGACGTGTGCTTGCTGGCCAGACACTGGGTAAGTTGTTTCTTCAGCTATTTTGGGTGTCCAGGGGCAACGTGACTTGGTTGCTCCCCAGGGGATGGTCAAGGGATGTCCAGTCCACAGTCAAACTGGGACATCGATCTGCAGATGAGGGTCAGGTCCAGTGATGGTGACGTTGGTCAGACACAACCCAATGATGACTGAGTGGGTCCATAGTGACAAGGCAGGTCTGGGAAGTCAACCAATGGGTCAGGATCAACAGGGTCTACAGCAAGACAAAGACATGCTGTGACAGAGCTGGAGACTAGCGCTACTACAGCGCAGCTTGGGTAGGTAGGGGCTGAAGGCTCCTGGGTCCCATGTGCATATAGGTCACAGCAAGGCTGGTTATGGCCATTCAGAGAAAGTATCCTCAGGGCTGTGACACTGTGGTCCAAACCCTCGTGTTATGGGCTGTGACTGTGGAAGCTAAAACACAGTTCTGAATCATCCCATGTCCTTATCTTCGATATGGTGAAGAAAAACAAGGGTGGGAAAAGATATTGCCTGGCTGTCGAGGGAGAAACATAGAAACGTAGAATGATTTGGATTGTAAGGAGTCTTCAAAGATCATCTAGTCCAACCCCCCTGTCACTAGACCAGGTTGCTCAAAGCCCCATCCTTATAGCCAACCTAAACCTACCTTTCTTCCATTTGAAATCATTACTGCTCATCTTATCATTCCAGGCCCTGATAAAGGCTCCCTTAAGCTTTATTATAAGCCTCCTTTATATATTGAAATGGTGCAGTAAGGTCTCCCTGAGACCTTACTTACACATAAGTTGCCTGGCATATTTGAGTATTTATAATTAGAGAGGTGATAGTCAAACTCAAACTAGCTCAGACTAACTCTAGCCAGCTGATGTTAAATAACTCGCCCCCTCAGAAACATGAAAGTCTCTTCTCTGCACTGCTGTGTGATAAGAAATAACAAACAGAACCACCCCAGCTGCTCCCAGCTGCATCCTTATTCTGCAGATTGCTCTCAAGTGTCATATGCTGAGAAGCTGTTGTCACCAGCTCTAAGCTGAGAATTGGAACTGGAGACAGTATTTGTAATGAAAAATGGTTATTTCCAAGCCTGCTGCGGGCAGTGGCTGTTGGGCACCCAGGAAAGCAGTTTGCAGCCCATTCCCACCCTGCTTCTGGCACAGCAGGCTGAAATAAGAAGTCGCATGCTAGGTCTGATCTTTAGGACTTACTCAAGCGTGAAAAAATTCTTTCACTTCTCTCATGGTCCAGAGAGCGGAGCTGCAGACCAAGGCCAAGCGCAGTGTGCCAGGGGTACTTCCAACCCAGGCATTGCCCGCATCTGCAGAGTCCATAGGTAATGACAGAGTGGGCCTTGAGGAGCGAAGGAGTTCGTTGTGATGCTCCAGGCAGATAAAAGATATGCAGCTAAGAGCCAGGCAGCACTTGCCCACTTAGCTGAAGAGAGAGATGAAAGGTTTGCCATGATAGGAACCTCTTACTCGCAGTGCTGGTCCCAGAGTTCTGGCTTGCAAACAAGTCAAAAGGACCATATTATAGCTGGGAGTCCTATACATGTACTGGGTGAGGTGCATATTGAGCTCCCTTTTATCTGCCTTCCATTCATGGGCCAGTCTTGCCGCAGAAGAGCTCAGCAGGCTTTCCTTTGCTGTTCAGAGACCACAGAGACACTCCCCTTTCAGGAGGACCCGGCAGAGGAGAGCTGAACAGTGTAGTTAGCAAATGTCTTTGCACAAAACAAGGTAGGAAGTCCCTCCCTAGAAAAAGAGGAGGTGATGACCACATAGGACCATGTGTCCCCAGTGCCAGCAGGACAGCATCCCTGCCTGAATCCAGAGCTACTGGGCACAGCAAGCACTTGCTGTAATGAGTCAGCTGTATCAGTCCCGCATGGCACAATTGGAGTGAAACTGCCTTTCCTGCCTCAGCTCACATGGGAAGGAGAATTTGCACCATCATGTAAGAAATGGGAAAACCTCATAGTTTTGCATGTGACATGAGTGCTGTGATTTGCAGGTGACGTTTTCCAGCACATACCAGAACGAAGGAGTATGCAGTATCTTTCTAGCTTGCATCTCCTGGCTGAGGTCAGGTCTCAAGCTAAGTGGTCTAATGGCATTTCTTCCACTTTTTTCTCTTTTGTTACCATACATGCAGACAATCGATCTTACATTTTAATAGATCAGCAAGGTGCTGATGCATCACCAAATGGAGGTGTTTGAAACCCGGCTTAGCCCATCCTGTACTGGGACATGGACTGCTCTGCCAAGCGGGTCCTGGCAACCTCTGTGCTTTCTCCAGAGGCTCCCAGACACCCCAGTCATTGCAGGAGGCAATTACCATGCCAGTGGAGGAGCTCTGCACTGGAAGCTGGATCTACACCATAACCTCACCCTACCATGTTGACTACACAAAGCACAGTCTCTCCCTTTAGTGCAATCAAGGTGTCAGGATATGGGCAGGAGGGATAAATACTTCCTTGGGATGGGCAGGTAGGTTCTGTGTTGCAGAATGGGAATAATGCAAAATCTCTCCAGACTGATGTGCACGGTGAGCTTTTGTCTCTCCTTGTTCACTACTATCAAGAGAATCCTGAAGGACCTGACTGCCCATCACCACTGTAGGGCTCTCTGCATGCACCAATGCAGGCTCCACAGTAGTGATTGGTACCAGAACATGGAGCTAATTGTCATTGTCCACCATTGGGCTTTCATTATGTGTCACTTGGAGGGTGTTAATGAGCATGGGGCTGTCATTAGCAATCCAGTTGGCAAGAGAAGTGACTGGCAGCTGGCAAGAGGCACACTGACAGCAAAAAGGGTTCACGACAAGGGAACTGCGGCACAGGAGGGGCGTGTTCTGGGATACACCATGGAAGAATTTCACTGTGGAAGAGTTTATTACTCTCTGTAGTGAACAGCATTGCCAGAAGCATTGCCTTGCTCAACAGACTCAGAAAAGGAACCAAATGCATAATGTTCACACTGGCAGCAGTTATCCATGGACCTGTCCCATGGCCGTGCATGTCCTTGCTAGCGTTCAGGCTCAGTGCTCTTCTGCATTCCCCTTAGCAGCTGCGTATGATGGAGGACAAAAGGCAGCAAAGAAAAATGCACATGCTGCTCTGAATCTTCCTCCAGAGGAACATTCAATGTAATAGCTGAGCAACACCCTAATACCACACTTGTTAGGCAAGCTTATGAATACCCCAGTTTGCAGTCACAGATCCATGAACCCCAAGCCCCAGAGCAAGCTGCTCTAGTGGCTGGTGTCCCTGCCTGTGGCAGGGGTTGGAACTGAATGAGTTTTAAGGTCCCTTCCAGCCCAGACCAGTCTGGGATTCTGTACAGAGCTTCAAATCCACCTGCACCTCAGGGGCTGTGACTTGTGCCACCAGCTTAGCACAAGTCCCAGTGCTGTGGGGCACCTTATGCCCAACCCCATGCGAATGGTGCTTTTGATCTACATAAGGAAATCCCATTTTGCTTGACTAAGATCCGGCATGTCCGGAGGTCTGACACCTATATAAAAAGAAAGGTCCTGCAGAACAGGAAAAGTTTACAGCTCATTACAGAAGACAGCAGGCAATTTGCTCACTCCTGGGCCAAGAAATGAAGAGGTGAGGCCTTGTGCTCCCAATAGCTCACCTCACTGTGGTTCTGTGGCCACACTCAGCGTTAGATTGCCAGGCTCTCAGCAGCCTTCATGAAATTGGCTGTATCACATTATTCTCACATCAAAGGCACCGAGACCAAGGAGAGAAATCTCCTCAGCAGATTAGAAGAGCTCATTCGCACTTCCTCTGGTAGAAGATGCTCCTCCGAAATCAGGTGGGGTGGCTGCAGGCATGTGCCTGCACCCTGTGCAGCATTTAACACAGCCCAGACCACAGTGATGCCCAGCTGGCTCGTGCTCAGCATTCAGTTTTGTCCTAGAAGGAGCAGAGGATAAATTGTTAGCAGTTAACAGCATGCAGCAGTTTCATACACTGTCCACGCCTTCCCATAACAGCACCGAGTTCTCCTGAAAGCCTGTCCTGAATCTGTGTGCTTGGCTTAGACCATGTGCAGGGCTTTGACTTAAAATATAAATGGCTTTCTAAAGTAAAAGAAAGAGGTTTGCCAAGTGCAAGAATGTATTTGCCTTTTTGTGGGGCTCCATCCAGGCCCCAAACATCCTAAATGCGAGTGGAAATGTGACTGGAGGTGTGGAGGGGTTCGTTTCGCTGACGGCAGGGCTGTGCACAGCGTCCCTCGCTCCATGGGCAGGTCTAGCTGCCGGTGAGCATGGACGTGCCATGTCACAGCTGTGTGTCCATTCATTGCAGATATCAACATGGCCGGGGAGCCCAAACCCAACAGACCTAAAGGGCTGAAGAGAGCAGCCTCCGCACTGTACAGGTAGGTCTCCATCGCGCCACCTCCTGTGCTGAGCTCTCGGGGCTGGTGTTTGTCTTCTGGCTATGGCTGATTTTCATTTCCCCCCCAGGCCACTGCTGCACGTTCAGATCTTGCCCCTCCATGGGATGCTGGGCCTTTGCAATGCCCCTCAGTGCTAGGCTGTAGGGAGGGGAGCCAGCAAGAGGCGGCAGCAGCAGAGCCAAGGCTGGCCAACACTTACGGTGTTGTGGGACTCTGCCTGGGCATGGTCCAGCCTGTGAACTGTGTTGGACCTGGAGGTCATTGGAGGAATGCAGGTAGTGCCTGCTTTAACCACATCAGAGGTCATGAAAGAGGTGTAATGACGAGCCTCCAGCCTCAGCTTCCCCAGCCGGGAGTAGGAGTGGGGCACAGTGGCACATGCTGGTTAGGGGAAAACAGGGAGCAGGGATAATTTAGGGAAAGATGCTGGAGAAAGGGGCATGAGAAAACCAACAGGGAAAAGGAGAGAAGAAAGAAAGAAAGAAGGTGGGAAGCCCTGGGGGCATCAGATGGAACTGGACTGAGGAGGTGGCCAGCGGAAGCCCCAAGGGAGGCTGTGCATTGCAGCAGTGACCAAGGGATCAAGGGAATGGGAGGGACAAGTAGGATGTGGACTGGGTTTGTGGGAGATGTGGCATGTTACAGATGTCAGAGTGAGCTTTCAGTGCCACTGTTGCCAGCTCTAGAGACCTGATACTAAGATTTTTCATAAGAAGATTTTCCTTTAAGCCCAGAGTCTGGACTTGTGGGAATATGGGAGAAAGTTGTGAAGTTCTTGCTCCTGTGCTTGCAGAAGGGAAAACTTGCAAAGGTATTTGGGGAGCGCCCTGCAGGTTCAAGAACCAAAACCAGATAATAAGATCCCCAAATGTGTTTTATTTACAAATTCTCATTATTTTTAAGCCAGTCTCATGGTATGGAGGCTGGGGCACTGGTCAGGATTTAGAAGGTGTGCCGTTGCGAAGAAAAGACTAAAATTAGTGTTGTTGATGGATGTAATAAGAAAGGAAATCGTGGGAGAATGGAGGGTTTTCTGCTAAGAGAAAAAGAATGTGAGAGGGATAAAGAGAAATGAAAAAAAAACCTATAATTCCGCCTCAGCCTGGCCACAGAATGGAAAACCTCAGTGGTGGCAATGCTCTTCTGGCATAGATACCCACCAGAGCTACAGCCACCTCCCACCACCACCCGCATCTGTGAGACCTTCCACAGAGCTCTCAGCTGAGCTCTTCCTTTGCAGCTTTCACCAGGCAAAGTTTTCCTCCCACCCTGGGCCAGCTTGGACCCTCACCAGAACTTGGCCCTCTGGATTCACAGAGGAGGCTGCATTACCCGTGCTGATCTATGGAAACAGAGATGACACAAATCTTTCTATTTAGCTGCACATATACAGCTTACGTGGTGCTGTTAGCCATAACGCAAATCAATTCATTCCATACATCTTGCAGCAAAGAGCATTTCATTCACTATTTGTCCATGCCTTGATTGCTAATCCATTTTTGCTGCAATGACCAATATTTCAGACTTCCAGGCTGCCATGTAGATGAAGAAATGCAAACATCTCTCATTTGCTGCCTCCCACAAAGACAAATATGCTAAAATACAGGCCAGAGGACTACGGTATTCTGAGCTTTAAGCAGTATTTCATCCCAGATTGGCTGTCAGATTGAAACTCTGCCATCTGGACCAACAGAACTTACAATATCTTCCGGGCAGCAGGGAATCCAGGTTTGCAGTGAGCCATGGTGATAGCATCCCTAATCATCATAAATTTTCCTAAATGTTAGACTTAAGAATCACAGCACTATAATTTACAGAGATGCTGTCTTAAAGCACGTAAGATTCTTTTTTTCAGAGGTTGGGTTTTACTTTGCCTCACTCCAAGTCTGTATGAGAGGGTCAAGGGGAAGGGAAAACTCATTTTGGACACAGAGGAAGCAACGGTCTTGACAGCCTCACTTGATCCACCGGCCCAGGGGTGTATCTAGGTGTTTAATAGAAGTCCTTAGGGATGTAGCTTCCCATCTACCTCCAACAGGTAAAACATGCACTCAGGTTCATGCCATCATATATTTTCTTAGGTCTCTCCACACGAGATACCTTTAGTTAACAGCAAACCTTGCTCTCATCACTGCTGTCCCTTGCTCCCTCTGGATCTCCAGGGCCACCTTCCCTCTGCCTCTGGCATTTGCCAGAGCATCCCTTTGCACATGGGAAGTCCCCTGAGTGCTCCTGCCTGGTACCACAGCCACCGCTGCTGAGCACAGACATACCTGGAGATACTGCAGATGAGTTAGTGAGGATGGCTGGAAAATGAACTTGTGTTTTGACCATGCCCCCAGGTATTCACATACCAGGTCTCAAAACCTCCTACGGCAACATTTTTTTTTGCCTGCATAGCAAATGTCTGGACAGGATTTCCTGGGGCGTTTTGTGCTGCATTCAAGTCATTGCCAATGATTTTCCTGTGCTGTGAGCTGGGAAGGGAAGGTGGCCCCAGGGCAGTGGGGGCTGACAGCACTGCAGGTGACTTTTGGAAGTACAAATCTCTGCCCTTCCCCATAATGTTGCTCTGTAGCCAAAAGGACAATGAGGACAACCTAAGCAAGAACTGTGAGAGCAACCAGGTGTCAGGTGTCTGGCAGCTCAGTGGCCTGAGGAACTGTCTCTGGAATAGTGACAGGCACAAACCACTGCTGACTTACTTTCACAGCCTACAGATGCAAGTGGATGATGTCCTCCTTCCAGCTCAGGTGCCGTTCACATCCCTTGTTATTCCCATTACGATCCCTGCAGAAAGCTGGTGTCAGCCCATCCCCAAAGAGATCCATGTCTCAGCAGCAGTGGTGGGAGCAGTGACACCCCAGCAATCCCCAGTGCCAAATCCACACAGACAGGGCTGAGAAACAGCCACAAGGCTGAGGAGGAGATGGGCAATGGTATCCAAACCCAGCAGACCCAACAGTGGCAGTAAGGATGCACATACTGTCCCAGCCTGCAGCAGCCCCACTGCAGCCCTGGCATCTTGGAAATGCCAGACTCCTTCCCGCATCTCTCCCAGTTTCCCACAATTTTGGCTATTTGCAGGAAGGAATCTCACATCAGATACACAAGAACAGAAAACTGATCAATGCCATAGTTTCCTAGTAGCTTTCCAACAGGTATTATTTCTACTGCTGCAATAATGAAGGTTGTGCAACCATGAGTAGAAGGATGTTGAGCTGAGCACAACGTGTTACTTGTGATTATCAGCGCGGGGCTGTCAGGCAGTAGTTAAAAGCTCAAATGTAAGTTTGCTGTTCAGGTAAATGCTCAGAAATGGCACCACAAATGTCATGTAAAGCCAGCACATGTGAACAATTGCCCTTCAGTTATGAATGTTTGGATTTTGAACCTTTGTGAGTCATTAATAAATGTTCTATAACTACTGAAGAAAAACAAAGCAGAAGAAATGCATCAGGAGGTGGAAGCATCATGTTCCTTGACGCAGCCTTACAGCCTTCTGCTGCCTCTCACTCTGACTGTCCCTTCTTGATTTTTAAGGGGTGCAGTGTCACTCACTGATTGAAACACAGCAAAAATGATCCCTATGCACCAAGGAAGACCTGCCAGGTCACTGACACATGATACATCAGTCTCAGGAAGGTTTAGCCTGTGTGCAGTGAAATTATCAGGCACACGATGTCCAGATAGATCACCCACACTAGGGCAGTCACTTTCACTCGGGTGTTTTCCTGCATGCATATTGGAAGACCTGATTTTGCTCAGTGCCTGACTTCCAAGGATACTGGTAAAAGCATCCTTCCACTGCCTCCCTTGGCGTGACTGCCATGTTACAGCAGGGTCATACAGTCACAGGCTGCCGAAAATCCCTTGTTTCAACCTGCTGCCTTCCTTGAGGGCTGTCGCATGGTTAGCATGGTTAGCAGTGCTTCCAGAGGCTGAGATCAGAGGATTTGCAGTCTCACATCACGCTGAATGTGAGGGTGGATTCATCTCACCTGAGTTCAGCCCTCTGTGCTGTCAAGGCTTTTACATGGTCTGGTTGTCTGCACTCCCCTTATGCTTGCTGGATAAAAGCAGTTCTTCACCTGACAGTGTTTTAGATGTTTGCCTTTAGGTGTGATGTACCATGACCTGAAACTGCCTCTTTCTCCCATGGCATGAATTTATATCTTTACATTCCCAGTGTCTGAAGCCAAATGGGATGAATCCCACTGGTTTTGGGAAGTCTCTCCAGGATAATTATGCCCCTAATTCCTTTTGAAATGGATGGAAGTGTTTTCTGAGGACTGGGGGCTAAGGCAGGAGTCCCACATGCACCCTTTTGCTTTTCACCCACAAATATCAGTAGATGCTCTTGGACCCACTGCCCTGCAGGTCAGGCATGTTGTAAGCCAGCTCCACTGTGAAGCTGCAAAACTGGGCCAGTAGCAGCTTCCATCAGGAAAACACAAGGCTGCCCAGCTTTGCTCACACATCCCTCTGCAAACAGTGTAATAACATTTATAGTGTTTAGTAACGACTTCATGTCCCAAACTTCTGTTTTGACTAAAAGGCTTAGGACTTCACCTGAGGTTTTAGGCTTCTCCGTCCCTCTCTAGCCCACACCAGGTTGGATCTACAGTACCTGAGGCCAGGCTTCATCCTATTGGTGCTGGAGTCAAGCCCAGGAGTGAGGCATTGGTGCCCAAATGCTGCAGCGCAGGGTCAGTGCTGGAGATGGAGGGTGCCCATCCCATGCAGGTCTTCATTCCTTGTTTCTAAATGCAAGGCTTCACCTGGGACGGTGCTGACAGCAGCAGGGCAATGCCCATTCGATGGGGTTGGAGCTGCAGCTCCTCTCCATCCCTGTCTCCCCAGGGAGCCAGCCATCTGCTAAGCCCACGGTGCCCACAGCTCTACCAGCAGGGCTCTCACCAGGGAGCTGGCTCGGAAGAGAAGCAGCTCAAACCAGGCATGTGAATGGGGTGAGAAAAAAGGAGTCCGGGCATGCCAGGATTCTGCCAAATGCCCCCAAGCTTCATGCTGTTTATGAGCAAACAGTGTAAAGCTGCCTCATGGTCTCCAAGCCACAGCGAACTTCCCAGCAAGAGTCACAGCCTGTGGAGGGAACTTTTGCCATGGATAAAGACATCATTTCATCCCACTTGGAGTCTGTCTGGGTGCTGCAGACTGATGCCACTGTTTGTTCTTGAATGTGGCTACAGTGAGCATTGGCTCCAGGGCACTGCTGGAGGTACCCAGGAGCAGTTCCCCAGAGCCTGTATTACAAAATAGCAGCGATTTCATTTAAGTTTCATCTAAAGGTAAAAAAAACAAATGAAGAGGGGAAGTCTGACAGTGCAGAAATGCCTTAGTTCCATTCAGATTACTTCCTATTTTGACTGTGTTCTGTTTGTGGTGATCAAAACAGATTGGCAGGTTGAGGAGAGCTGTGTTCTTGGAGAATTTCTGTATTTCCAGCTTTCATCCAGGTTAGAACAAAAATCAAATTAGCAGTTATGAAGATCTCCATGAAAACACCTTTGTTCCTTCCATACTGCCCATCTCCTCTGCCGCACAAACAGCTGGTGATATTCCAGCAAGAGCTCCTGTTCTCTTTCCCTTTCAATGTAGGAAAGCACACAACAGAAAAACTGCAGATCGTGCAGTGACTGGGACAGAAGGCTGCCAGGATATTAATTTCTCTCCTGTGAGCTCAGCAGAAACGTCTGTGAGTCAGATCAGAAGGGGAGGATTCCAGGGCTGAAATGATGTTGAAACTCAGATCTATGCTGCAACTGTCAGCAAAATGGCTCTTGTCCATCATGGAACTGAAACCAAAAGGCTTATGGTGGTAACACCTCCATAGTCACATCCTACCACCACCACTCTGAAAGTCACCATGGCAGTGCACAGTGGTGGCAGCAAACCCCACAAGAGGCAGTAGGTGCAAGTGCTGATTTGTTGCCCTCAACCCCTTGCACCGTCTTCAGCCCCAGAGGACACCTGGTTGGTGTCTCCAACCATCCAAAGTGTGCTTCAGGTACCCACGAGGCATAGGCTGACCCTCCACATGCTGCCACGGGCTGCTGGGGAACCCAAGGAGCACCCAAGGGCCACGGGAACAATACATGTAAGAAACCAGCATTACTGAAACATCCGGTGGGAAGCTCAGTGCCAGCAGAGCCAGAACAGGCGCCCTGGGTCAAGCCTGGAATTTCAGGTCCAAACCATGCTTCCCACCAGCCATCCTGAGCAGCCTCACATTCTTCCTGTCACTTCTTGCCTAAGATGCAGGACACCAGATTTACTCTCAGCTACATACTTGAGTGCTCATCCTTTCCTCTCCCCATGCTCCGGTTTGTTCTGGCTCAGAGTCCTTCCTTCTCCCCATCAATCTTTCTTTCTTCCTATTAGATTTTCTTCTTTTATTTTTAATACGCCACTTCAAGTGGTTTCATGATGCTGGACAGACTCTTTGCTTTCAAGGACTGCAATAACCATTATCTTTGTTCAGAGAGGAAGGAGCATCAGCATAACGTCTTATTTCACCAGCATTAATTCGGCCAGCAGCACACAAGGGAACCACATGCTGTGTTCAGCTGGAGGTGGCTGGTACATTCAGCAGTGCTGCTCTTCTTTGCACTGCTGAGAGTGTGATGGGGCATCAGGCAGCACCAGAGCAGGTCTTGTCTCTGAAGAGCTGGGGTTACCCACTCTAACCAGCTGGTTTGTGTTGCCTCATGAAGAACCAGCTGCCACAACAGAGAAAGCTGTTGCTGGGTCTCCAAGGCATGGAGAATGCATTGCTCCAACTTCGGGTTAAAATGCAATTAAAGCTTAAGAAAAGAGGATGTGGGCAATGTCACGCTGGGTTTAAACATCTTCACTAGCAGAGATGTTAAATTAATAAATGCCCTTTTCTTCCTGACATCTCCCTCAACAATTCTATATTGTATGAAAAACAAACCGTATGAGGGTGGCAGCAGAGCAGTGTCTGCCTGCTGCGGTCCTGCTGTACTAAACACAGGATGGAGGGATGTCAGCAATGCCATGAGAACATTTCAGATGCCACTGTACAGACACAACCCTTTAGCTGTGCTTTCAGCATCTCTGTGTGCCTGCCCGGGGATGGAGGGCTGGTCCCTGCTCCCCAGGCTTGGAGCTTGTGGGCATTTCTCCCCACGTAGTTTGTAGGTTTTCATCCACTCCACACCTGTGGCTCTGCCTTGAGATAACCAGGTTAACACTTTGCGGCCAACATCACCCTGTCCAGTGTGTTCAGCTGCCCCAAATCACAGAGTGGTTTGTGTTGGAAGGGGCCTTAAAGCTCATCCAGTTCCAGCCCCCTGCTACGGGCAGGGACAGCTTCCGTTAGAGCAGCTTGCTCAAGGCCCGTATCCTTCTCCTGTGCTGAGTCCACCTCCAGCCAGCTGGAAGGACTGGGACTCCCCTGTGGAGGGGGAATAAATAAAGGACCTGGGAGGCTCAGCAGGCAATGAGGGGAATAATAATGGTAAATTGCCAACAGTAATTAACCTGTGCCAGCAGTAATTAACCTGTGCTATCCTGCCTCTGTCTCTGCAGTGGTTACGACTTCGATTATGACTATTACAGGGACGACTTCTACGACAGGTGAGCAGGGGAGGCATCAGCCAAAGGGGTTTCCTATGGGGCAGGATCTTCCCTGCAGCGAGGTGGGGTGGAGGGTGGTCCAGCCCAGGGCAGTGGGGTCCCATGGCCAGGCTGTGCCCCGGCTCACCACCAGCACTGCCTGAGCTCTGGTTGCGCCGCCCAGTCACTGGCACTGCTGCGGGTGCTGCAGGGTTCTTCAGCCTCCCCCCCCCCATGCTTCCATCCCACTCCAGGCTCTTCGAGTACCGGGGCCGAGTGTCCCCGGTGCCCAGGGTGGTCCCTGTGAAGCGGCCGCGGGTCACCATCCCGCTCGTGCGGCGCGTGAAGGCCACGCTCCCCGTCAAGCTCTTTGCCAGGTCGGCTGCCATCGCCAACAGCTCGGCCAAGCTGAAGCGTGAGTATGTGCGTGTGGAGACCGGTGTGCACACGGAGCTCCCATCCCCAGGCAGATGCTCCCAAAGAAAACCTTGGAAACCCCCAGAACATCTAGAAACAACAGCCCGAGTGAGGACTTGAACACACAGGCTTTTTGGGGTGCAAAGGACCAACTATCTCTGCCAGTGCCATAACAGGGAGCAGGGCAGCAAAGCGATGGAGGAGAGGACGTTGCTGCTCCATGCCTCTGTTAGCTGTGTGCCCTGACCACCCTTCCCATGGCTCCTTCCAGCACAGACAAACTCAGATACACGCAAGCATCACCACACATTGACTCCAGGGATGCAAAGAGTATATTTCTAGCATCGGGTTTCTAGTTGAGTTTTTAACCTGCTCAGTGAGGTGTCCCAGGGCTGCCAGAGGGGTGAGGCAGGCACTTTGGGTGCTCTGCAGAGTTCTAAATGCCTTTTTTCTCTTCCTTTCTCCAAGTGAAGTGCAGCGAGCTGCAGACAATCAAAACTGAGCTGACGCAGATCAAATCCAACATTGACGCTCTCCTGGGCCGACTGGAGCAGATCGCTGAAGAACAGAAGGTGTCCACAGGTCAGTTGGGTGCACGCGGGTGCCTCAGGGTCAGTTTAAGAACAGGCAAAGAGTGCAAGGAAGCACCCTGCAGAGCTGGCCACCATCATGGCTTAGAGCATCCTCAGGGCTCTGACGGTGAAGTGTGGAACCCCAGCTTCCAGGGTACAATCTCAGCCCAAAAGTACAGGTTGAATTTCCCAGATTATGGAATTGGGTTTTAAAATGGTGAGATATTTTTCTTTCTTTTGTCATATAGTTTGTATTTTTTCAGTTTTCTTTTTTATTTTATTCTGTTCTGCTCTGCTCTATTCTATTGTGTTCTATCCGCTTCCCATACCCACACCAGAGTGATGCAGACTTGCTCTGCCCTCTCCAGGGTTACTTTTGGGCAGCTTCCTCAAAATCAGCAAGACTTCCCAATACAGAAAAAACAGAAATAAAATAGATGCATTACTCCCCTCCCAACTAAACCTGGGCTCCCACTGGGTTAGTGTCATCAGGCTTCCCCAGCCCTGAGCCAGGTGGCTTGGCTCTTGCTCTCACAGAGGTACGGAAGAAGGTGGAGAGCAGCAAAAGTGAAGTCTCGCAGGAAGACACAGCATCAGAGGCAGAGGCCAACACGGAGGAGCCGCTGAATGGGGACGAGGGCGAGGAAGAAGGTCTAGCACGGGATGAGTGTGAAGATGACCTGGTGAGTTCGGATAACACACTCCTCCCCAAACAGAGGAGTTAAGTAATGGACACAGTTCCACTGGAGCTTACTAAATCCCCAGAAAAATAGTTTCTCATTCAAGAGAAATGGTTGTGTTTAAATCCCGTGATTGCTGACAGCTTGTTCTTTCAAACAGTTCTGCTGCTTGCAAAAGCAATGACCTAGCAGATGCATGTGGAGATGCTGAAGAAACATGGTTGGCTCTTGAAATTCAGACCACATTTATCCTTGATTTCACAGTTTTTAATTGATGATTAAAACAAGTTTTTCTGCTCCCAAGTAATTCTCAGATGGATTGGAACATACGGCAGACAGGCTGTGTTACACTAACCGTACTCTCCTAACAATGCACATTTGCAATGCCCTGTTGACTGAACAGACACCAAATGCCATAAACCTAGTTGTAAGGTCCGAGCAAGCCACAGCTCTGTGCGTGGAGCTGTACATCACTGGGAGGGCAGCACTCAAGCAAGGCTGGCCTGGTGTCATGCACACATCAGTCCCATTGGCATTAGTCCCACCCTGAATTAAGGACATTCCCAGTGAACCCAGTAAGACTCCTCTGAGAATAGGATCAGCTCCAGATCCAGGCAAAGAGCAGCAGGGTGCTGGGGTGCAAGGGCAGCCCTGCCTCATGCCTCTTCTGCAGGACTGCAGCTCTGGGAAGCTGTGCTGGTTGGCACAGCTCTCCTGCTGAGGTCTGGGGATGTCCGGGCAGCCTCTGAGCCTGCGTTGAGTGTCCCCTGCAACAGCTCTGTGCATTCCCCTTCCCTTCCTTCTGCTTCCTCGCTGGTGGCAGCAGAAGTGAGGATGAAGCTCAGCATCGCTGAGGTGACCGCCCCACATTGACATGCACAGCCTTCCTCTTGTGGCCTAAAAGCTCCTCTAACTCAAAACGCTTCCCAGCTTTTTTGTAGTCTTCTGCTCTGCCTCACCTTAGTCATGATGGGATCTAAACATGGTGTTTCAGCTCTTCTGGTTTCTGGTGCCTCACAGCTGAAGTCCATGACCCCTAAATTGGAGAAGAGCTAATTAAGGGGAGACATCATAACAGATCCTATAAAGAAAAAAGGCAAAAGCTGGCCTCCATCTCTGTGTCACTTAGGAAAAGGAAGGCCAGGTTTGAATTACATCAAGGGGAACAAATGCTAGCAATCGGGAAACTTGCAGATACTAATAATGATAACACACAGCCTGTCAACAAAAAAATGTGGATTTTCCTGCAATTAGTGGGATAAGGAAACAGAGTGGACAGACATCTGCTGGCAATGATTTAAGAAGAATGGTCTTCATTAAGAGTAGATGAACAAGATGACTATTTCAGCTCCCTTTCAACTATTTTCTGTAACTCTGTGCTCCTAAAGTGGTGTTGAGATCAGAAACATTTTACTGCCAACATCAGACAGGCTCACATGTGCTCAGCATGCTTAATGTGTGCAGTTCGTCTGCAGGGATGTTCTCTTAAACGATGCAAGGTGGCTCACAAAAGCCGTCCTTTATATTCTGCTCCTGACCTTACAACACTGAACAGATCTAAAGTCTTCCCAGTTCCAGGGGAGCACCTCTTTTATCCCATGTCTCTTTGGCTTACACACAGCAGTGTAGCCTTCATCACTTGCTGTTCATGGACATGGCGCTCACACCACTCCATAAAAACATTATCTACCCTTGCATCATAGGAGAAGAGACAGAGGTCAGACAGATCTGACCTAGTAGTCAGTTTATTGAGATGTAATCAGTAAATTTAGGTATGTAAAATACTTAATAAGTACAGTTGGACTGGCAGTCAATACTCTACTGTATACCACACTTACAGTATGGGATACAAAGATAATGGTGTAAACTTATTATATGTGTCTTAAATGTTGCATGCATGCCAAAAATGTCACTTACCAACCCATCGATGCCAGGTGTCAGGTAAGGGATCTGTGAGACATGAGGGGTAAACTTGAGAGGTGTCCCTGCCGAAGCGGAGATCCCTGCCCAGTGCTGAGGAGGGAGAGCTCAATAGGCCCTCGTGGCTGCAGATATTTATAGTGTGAAGTGGTTGATTCCTAGTCCTATACTGTACTGCCTTCATGTAGTTCTGGCCATTTATCAGCCCAGTCTCCAGCCAAACCATTTCTGGGGGCTTGGTGCTGGGTTCTTACGCAACAGGATTCATTTTCTTCTGCCTAGACCCAACTCCAGCACAAATGAGAAGGACACAGTTTGTGCAAGGCAGGAACCAGACCTGCCAACACTTGGGCTGTACCCAGCACAGAGACTTCCCTGCCTTGAACCTCTTCCCCATGGTGACAGCTGGGGAATATCCAATTGGGCTTGGGTCTAAGGTCCCACCTATACCCCGTAGGCAACTGGAGGATGTCCCCTGGCAACCAGCAGGCCTGAGCATCCCTGTTTGTAGGGGAGTTCACCTCAGCCCATATGAAAATGCTATGGCTAAGCAGGGTGCTGTTTCACAGTGCTGCTAGCCACATCTGGGTGAGGGGAAGCACTTTAGACCTGGTCTCCTTTGCCTCCAGAGCAGTGTCCCATGGGCTTTTGCTACGCAGATCCCTGAACTACCCAAAATCTGCTCTCTTAAATTCAGGGGTTTGATTCTGTTCTTTATCTTGGTCACTTCTTTCACAATACTCAACTTCACAGTCTCATGGTGGCTCCATCTTCACACCTTCGACCAGCTCCTCCTTGGCCATGAGCAGCAGTCCAGAAGAACACCTCCCCTGCAGAGCTGGTCAGTCGGCTGTGTCTAGAAGTTATTCCTGACACTTTCCAGAAATCTGGGTTGCTGCACCCAGCCCTGCTGCCTCCCACACCTTGCAGGGTGGTTGGTGTCCTCAGGTGTCTAGGGGCCTGTGATCAGGAGGCTTCCTCCAGCCTTCCCCTTCATATCCGATGCTCTGTAGCAGATACCTGCCATGATGGCTGGCCCCTCATCCTCACCCACTTTTCCAAGGCAAATCACTGTGATGTGGGCTGTTCCTTTTCCCAGAGCACATGCCACCTCACCTGGCTTTCCAGAAGAGCCTGTTCCCAGGGCGCTGCCTGCTCTGTCATTACAGGGAAGGAGCCTTTATTCTGTTGCCAGCAGTCATAAGCCTCCAGACTTCCTTCTCTTGGGAGGCTCCATCCACAGCTCCTTTAAGCCTGGTCTCCAGCTTTTCTTCTTTCATGCATTGCAGTCCTGAGGCTTTTTGCCTGCAGGGTCTCCCTGTCTGTAAAAATCTGTATCTCCCTCAGTGCCCTGTAAACCAGGCTGCTGCTACCAGGGTTGAGGCTGGGTTCCCTTGCCTTCCCTTTCAGATTACCCGTCATCCCCTGCAGGCATCCAGATTCATTTCCATCTCTAAAATATTCACCACAAAATTTGGCTTGTTCAGGAGATAAATTCCTACTGCTGAGCACCTAATTCTTTTAAATTATGCTGCATTGCAGGGTGGCTCCAGGAGGGGGTACTTCCACATGCTGTGCTTTCAAAACCACTGTTGCATGGGGAGTGGTTCAGCACATCAGCACGGTTATTGTGGCCTTTGAAGTGAAAAAGATTATGAATGTTATCATTCTGGATGATGAGTTCTGCTGCAGACTGGGACTTCTGTGTTCAGTAGCAGTTATTACATTGTGCATGATTCGCCACTGCAAACTGGCTACCCCTTAGTATCACTGGTCAGTTCCAGTGATGTGGGAATGCCTGTTCCCTGGTGTGTCCTAGGTCCCAAATCAACTTCTCACAGTGCTACAACGAGGTGTGAGCTGTGCAAGCACATGCAGTAACGTTTATGAAAGTGCTGAGCATGGACTTAACCTGTCTTCATTAGGCATCCAGTCTAACCACACAGGCTCAGGACTTCTCCTGGGACATGCCCACTGGAGGTGCGGACTCTGGTGTAGCCCAGATCAGACACCTGGCTTTACACAAGGGAAGCTGGGCTTAATTTCATCCTAGTCCCTTTGAGGCTCAGGAGAAGCCAGACTGCAGACTCCAAGAGGGAATCACACATCCCAGGGCTGTCTGGCAGAGACCTTCCAGAATAAGGAGCCAGAGGAAGTGTCTGGGTTTGCCTGAGGCTGTGTCTGCCAGAAGCCACAGCCGCAACACCCAGTGTCCACATCAGGTGTGTTTTGTAGCTCCTCCACCGCTCTGAGCAGCAGCTCCCTGGTCTCCCACAGCATGGTACCAGCTGGTCACCACATGTGCGGTGGTATCACAGTGTCCCAGGCAGGGCAAGAGGGACATGTGATGATTTACTGTTTCTGGTTCCCTTTTCTCTCCAGGAGAACAGCCATTACACAGATGTGGAGGATGCCAGACTACAGTAACCAGGTATCACGGTATCACAGTATGTTAGAGATTGGAAGGGACCTCAAAAGATCACCTAGTCCAATCCCCCTGCCGGAGCAGGAACACCTAGATAATGTTACACAGGAATGTGTCCAGGCGAGTTTTGAATGTCCCCAGGGAAGGAGACTCCACAACCTCCCTGGGCAGCCTGTTCCAGTGTTCCGTCACCCTCACTGAGAAGAAGTTTCTTCTCAAGTTTAAGTGGAACCTCTTGTGTTCCAGTTTGTACCCATTACCCCTTGTCCTATCATTGTTTGCCACTGAGTAGAGCCTGGCTCCGTCCTCGTGACACTCCCCCTTTATATATTTATAGACACTAATAAGGTCACCCCTCAGTCTCCTCCAAACTATAGAGACCCAGCTCCCTCAGTCTTTCCTCATAAGGGAGATGCTCCACTCCCCTAATCATCTTCGTTGCCCTGCGCTGGACTCTCTCCAGCAGCTCCCTGTCCTTCTTGAACTGAGGGGCCCAGAACTGGACACAATATTCCAGATGCGGTCTCACCAGGGCAGAGTAGAGGGGAAGGAGGACCCCCCTCGACCTACTAACCACCGCCCTTCTAATACACCCCAGGATGCCATTGGCCTTCTTGGCCACAAGGGCACAGTGTTGGCTCATGGTCATTCTGTCATCCACTAGGACCCCCAGGTCCCTCTCCCCTACACTGCTCTCTAACAGGTCGTTTCCCAACCTATACTGGAACCTGGGGTTGTTCCTGCCCAGATGCAGGACTCTACACTTTCCCTTGTTATATTTCATCAAGTTATTCCCTGCCCAACTCTCCAGCCTGTCCAGGTCTCGCTGGATGGCAGCACAGCCTTCTGGCGTGTCAGCCACTCCTCCCAGCTCAGTGTCATCAGCAAACTTGCTGATAGTACACTCAATTCCCTCATCTAAATCGTTGATGAATATATTAAATAATACCGGTCCCAGTACTGACCCTTGAGGCACTCCACTAGTTACAGGCCTCCAACTAGACTCAGCCCCATAGACTACAGCTCTCTGGCTTCTCTCCTTCAGCCAGTTCACAGTCCACCTCACTACCTGATCATCCAGACCACACTTCCTCAATTTAGCTGTGAGGATGCTGTGGGAGACTGTGTCAAATGCTTTGCTGAAGTCAAGGTAGACCACATCCACCGCTCTGCCATCATCCATCCACCGTGTTATTTCCTCATAAAAGGCTAAGAGATTGGTCAAACATGATTTCCCCCTGGTGAAGCCATGTTGACTGTCCCTCATAACCCTCTTATCCTTGATATGCCTTAAGATGGCACTAAGGATAAGGTGTTCCATCACTTTCCCAGGGATGGAGGTGAGGCTGACCGGTCTATAGTTACCCGGGTCCTCCTTCTTGCCCTTTTTGAAGACTGGAGTGACATTTGCTTTCCTCCAGTCCTCAGGCACCTCTCCGTTTCCCAAGACTCGGTAAAGATGATGGAGAGTGATCTAGCAATGACTTCCGCCAGTTCCCTCAGCACCCACGGGTACATCCCATCTGGACCCATGGATTTATGGATGTCCAGATTGCTCACACACTGCTTTTTAGAGGCTGATTCTGAGCAAAAGCTTTTGTTCCATGCATGTTGGGGTGGTTGCTGCTTCAGAAGACGTTCTTTCTCACTGATCCTCGGTGTTTTCCTAGCACTGAGCCTGGCTGCTCAGCTGGGTCACAGATCAGCCCCCCACTCCCTTTCCTAAATCACAAATCTTTGAGGTGCAAGGAAAATGATGTACCCTCGTCCTGCCCTTCTCTCCTTGCAGCCCATTCAGAACAGCAGTGAGCAACAGTGTGAGGAAAGCACGAGGCTAAACCCTGTCCTGGCACGTTGAGCAAGACAAGCTGAATCGAAGTGCTGCTGTCATCTCTACCTGGCATTCAAAAGGAGAAACATGGCCTGACATCTTCCATCCATCTGTAAAGCAAAGACAAAGAAACCCCATCATCCCAGTGAATCCCCACTACCCTGTGCAATGGATTCAGAGCTCTGCAAATAGGAGAGGCAGGGTCCAAACCCTGCACAATCCAGAACCATCACTGACCAGATAATGGGAGAGCAGTTGTGTCACCAAATGAGTCAGAGATGTTATGTTAGTGAGTCAGCTTTTTGTAGGAGAGGAGGGAAAGCTAAGCCTAATCCAATAAAGACAATTTTTCCCATGCTAGGTGAGAGCAAGAGCATTTGCTAACTGAGGGAGAAGTACTGTCGCAGTTTGGACAATTTGAGTTCTCACTCTAAAGATCATGCTGAGGAAGAGGGTGTGGGGTGAGCTGTCCTCCCAGAGCAGTCACATCCAGTCGTGTCTTTTACCCCATAAGCTGCTGTGAGTACAGGGTGAACCCCAGGAGTCAGTGCTGGTGCATGTGCTATGTCTGTGCATCTGCTTGAAGAGAGGGGAAGGGGAAAGGAAGCTGCCTGCAGGAAACAAGTGATGCCAAGCAGGAGACACAAAGCGTACATCAGCTTCAGTGATCCAGAGAATGGTTTGTCTCCTCATTCTCCACTGGGAAACCACAATGTAAAGGCTGGCAAGTTGCTGCAGAGTGAGGGGGTTCAAGTGCTATGTGGATGAGACCCTTTTCTTGGACCAGCTGCAAGGGGTGTAATCCAAGCACTTTTCCAGTGCCAGAGACATCAGCCCCTTCCCCAGGGTGCCCCAACCTCTCTTTGTCTTCACACTGACCTGGCACACTGGGAGAGCATGCAACAGCTCCTGCTCCTGACTGCAAAGGCATCCAGTCTCCATCACCAGTCTCCATCACTGGTCTGATGATCTGCACAGTGTGACAACTGGCCTGAGCATAACGCAACTGGTAACGGTGAATACCCCAAGCATGATGCATGTGAGCGTGCAAGCACCTCCCCTGCCTACCCAGATTCAAGCTGGTTTTGATCCATGCCATGTCCTGCAAGTAGAGGGCTGCAGCAGCTAGCATGCAGCTTGTCATGGGAACCCCCTTACACCAGGTCTCTCAGCCTTTCTCTTCTTGTTTGTTCCTCCTTATCCAGTTTTTCTGAGCTCCAGAATAGATGGGACTGAAACTCACACAGCACTTTACTCAGCCACTCAGATGTGTCCTGCCCATCTCTCCTCTTCCCCTCCATAACACATACATACAGGTCAGTGCTTTGAATCCAGACCAGTGTCCACACCTCCTCCGTGGTCAGACTCTCCCACAAAACATGTGCCCCCCCCCGGTCTCATAGAGTGCTCCCGTGCTCAGAGCCAAACCTCATCTACAGCATCCCTCTTCAAAGGGTGAAGGGGAAAACAGGTCCTGGGGGCAAAGCTTCCCTCCCCTGAGGGCCATTGTGGAGCAAGCATGGCTCTTGAAGCACAATGTTTTATTTGCATTTCTTAGTTTCCAAGAATTCATGAGGGATTTAAGGGATAGCCGTGCTTTCCCCTACCTTTTTCCGGTTCCTGTACAATTTATCCACTGTGTTGTACTGAGCCGTTGTAGAGCTGTTTTCTAGGCTTTGAGAGATGAGCTGCAGTTTTTGCTATGAACTGACTGTGATGCTGATGTCTGGGAGAAAGGTGACCTTGTACATACAATCCTGTATAATAAAAGAAAGAAATCTAATTTGCTTCTCTCTGTGTCATGCGTACACACATACATACATACACACATCCACGTATACATACACACACATGTACACACCTACACACACACCCCTACACACATACGTACACATACACACCTATACACACACATACACACCTATATACACACATACAAGTGCACATACATACACACACGTGCACACACATACACACGTATACACACGCTTACACACACATACACAGCTATACACACACAGCTATACACACATACACACACATACATCCAAACATATACACACACATACACACAAACATATACACACACATACACACAAACATGCACACACACATACATCCAAACATACACACATACACACACACACATACATACACACATACACACCTGTACACACACACACACACACACACACATACTTTTTTCCTCTATTTCAGAGAAGTCTTTTCCCTTCCTAAGCTTTCACTCTGCCTGCAGGATTTACTTTCCATTACACAAGGTATATCCCACTGGGCTGAGCCAAACATCTGCATTCACAGGGGCTCTGGGACTCTTCCTCTGGAGGCCTGGGAAATCATTTGAAGCAGGAGAGCAGGGTACAAATCTAGGCCCTTAATCTCTGGACTTTGTATGGGCTCAGCTCGTAAGAGACTGGAAAAAGTAAGGTTGCTATTCCAGTTTGCACAAGGCAACAATGCTAATAAATGCTCCTTAAACACAGTGTGTTCTGGCTGTCTACCCAGTCCCTTCCTCAGCAGAGCAAAGCTCACAGTGTTGCCAACTGCGCGTGTTCACTGTAGTAAACATCCAACCCTGGCACATTTGGTGACTGAATTGTGTTGGGAGGGCACCAGGGACCACATGGGAGAAGCCAGATGATAACCATTTAATTTTCCAGTCTTAGAAGGATGTCTGCTGAGCCTGGCCTGAGCCACGGAGGGCAGCACTGGAGGTCAGAGTTGCCTGTTGCATCTATTTAAGTTCATGGTGAGGCTGGGGATGCTTAAACCGTCCATCCGTCCATCCATCCATCCATCCATCCATCCATCCATCCATCCATCCAGCATCCACGCATGCATCCACAGAATCATAGAATAGTTAGGGTTGGAAAGGACCTTAAGATCATCAAGTTCCAACCCCCCTGCCATGGACAGGGACACCTCACACTAAACCATCTCACCCAAGGCTCTGTCCAGCCTGGCCTTGAACACTGCCAGGGATGGAGCATTCACAACTTCCCTGGGCAACCCATTCCAGTGCCTCACCACCCTCACAGTAAAGAATTTCTTCCTTATATCCAGTCTAAACTTCCCCTGTTTAAGTTTGAACCTGTTACCCCTTGTCCTGTCACTACAGTCCCTAATGAAGAGTCCCTCCCCAGCATCCCTATAGGCCCCCTTCAGATACTGGAAGGCTGCTATGAGGTCTCCACGCAGCCTTCTCTTCTCCAGGCTGAACAGCCCCAACTTTCTCAGCCTGTCTTCATATGAGAGGTGCTCCAGTCCCCTGATCATCCTCGTGGCCTCCTCTGGACTTGTACCAACAGTTCCATGTCTTTTTTATGTTGAGGACACCAGAACTGCACACAATACTGCAAGTGAGGTCTCACAAGAGCAGAGCAGAGGGGCAGGATCACCTCCTTGGACCTGCTGGTCACGCTCCTTTGGATGCAGCCCAGGATACGGTTGCTTTCTGGGCTGTGAGCGCACACTGAAGCCGGCTCATGTTCCTCTTCTCATTGACCAACACCCCCAAGTCCTTCTCCGCAGGGCTGCTCTGAATCTCTTCTCTGCCCAACCTGTAACTGTGCCTGGGATTGCTCTGACCCAGGTGCAGGACCTTGCACTTGTGATCCATCCATCCTTCCATCCTGCCATCAGTCACCAGTTCACTTCAAGATGAGGAAAGCAGCATCAGACTAATGGCTGGTTGTCTTAGTGGCTGGGAAGGAGGAAAGGGGGGGGGGGGGGGGAGAGGGGAAGAATAAACGCAAATCAAAACGTTTTGCCATCAAGAAGATCAAATGAGCTCAACCTTAGGTCCATTGAGCCAGGTACTTACACTCTGAGAGCTATCTCAGTGCCTCAGAGGAGGGCACAGCACTTCCCTGCTCATCTCAACCCCATCACCTTCCCCACCACCCAAACACAGCCTGGCACTGGGCTGGGGACAGGTGGCTGCAGTACCATGAAGCTCATCGACTTTAGGCCATTAGAGCATGGTGGAGGCATCCTAGCAAACATTGGTTTGATTTTGTTGATTAATTGGGGGGAGAGTGAGGGACTTTGGGAACTCTTACAGCAAATATTAGCAGTTATTCGTGGCAATTAATAGTTACAGCATTCATATCTTCATTGGCAGTTATGTATGGCAAGCTACTGCCATTGGCTGTAGACAGGGCCTCAACAAAATGAGTTATGGGTTTTTCATGCTCATTGAGTTCTGTGAGTGACCATCTTCACATGAAGAGGTGAGGGCACAGCAGTGGGTGGGAAAGGGAACACACACCACCTCTCTCGCCCCTTAAGGCCATAGAGCAGCTGCAAAGCTTCCTGCTGGCTTGTCTGGGTCCATCAGGAGAGGAGGAGCAGGAGAGGAGGTGTCACCCCATCCCTCTGAGCACTGCTTGCCGAGGGATGGAGAGGGAGGGCAGGGAATGGCAGATGCCGATGCAGGGGCATGAGGCCCAGAAGCAGAGCTTAGGAGAAAGAGGGAAGGGAGAGCACATGGTCCAGAGCAGCTGGGGCTGCAGAGGTTTAAGGATTCCATAAGAGTTACAGTGAGCAGGGTACGGACAAAGCCATTGTGCTATCAGGATGGCAGTCTGCTCCTGTCCCCTGACTCCCCCAGCCCATCTTCCCAAGTGTGAGCACACGTGTGAAAAATAGCATGGTGTGCTGCACGCTCAAAGCACAACACAGCACCTCGGCCACAGCCCATCCATCGGCATCCCCAACCCCAGCCTACATCACACTCTGCTGTCGCAGGGGAGCAGACGAGTGAAGAGCAGAAGCCTCGTTACTGGGCTTGTCCTGATGAACAGGAAGATTTCTGGTGCTTCTCAAAAGCATTTTAAACATCTATGACACAAAAAGATCTGCTAGATCTTACTAGCTCTTGAATGAATATAAAGGGGTCCCACCTCACATGCATCCAACCTCTTTCCACGATCCATTGTCCCCATGGAGTCACTCCATGTAAATTATCCCTGTCCTGCTGGAACGTGGGAAGATAAAGGTTGGGCTGGTCCATTATCCCCAGCATTTCCTGCAAGACAGCAGTTTATTCATCTGCACATTCTGAAGAAAAACAACCAGCATAAACTGAGCAACTCAAGTGAACATAAAACACAGTTTCCATCTTGTGGACTGGAAGCAAGAAATGCTTTTGTTAAAGGCTTTCCCCCCCACCCTCAAAGGCGAGATCTCATTACCAAGAGTCCTGGACCTTGCTTGGCTTCTCACATTTGCTGCTGTGCTTGTTGCCATCCCATCTGCGTTTGGTGGCAACAGCAGCATGGTCTTTGTTGTAAACAAAACCAGAGGTCACTGTGTCCCTGCTGCCTTGCCAGCACCTCTGGAAAGAAAATAAGAAACGTCTGAGGTTGCCAAAACACTTTGGCATTAATATGCTGCTCCGGATGGGAACAGCAGATGGGCAAGAAGTTTTGGTGCTCTGCTTTTTCATATGCTGGCCTTGGCAGTTTCTAGAGCAATAGAGTAGGGTTATTGCAGTGCAAATCCTCCTTTTATGTGTTTCTGGAGATGGAAAGACCAAAACACCTCTAAATCTTGCATTCAGTTTGAGTCCGGAGATACTTTGTTGTGCCCCCATTGACTTTAATAAATCCCTTTAATGAGCATCACAATTAAAGTCCATGCAGTGCTTTGGAAATACTTCAATTCCCGCAGCTGTAATAGGATACGTTCTTTGGGGAACTTGTGAAATCCAATTGCTGCCTCTGTGAGCGTTTTTGTATCCGTCCTGCAACGCCTTCCCATTATCTGCAAGAGATTTAATTCCAGATCTTTCCTCTTCTCAAGAAAGTTATGGAAACATTTGGAGACATGACCACGAACCCTAAGGGCTCCTGTGGATTCTGTCCACCCTTTGCCAGGAAAACACTCCCAAGCCTTGGATTGGGGGCGGTCTGATGCCAAAAGGACTCAACCCATAAACCAAATCCTCTGTTAGTGTGTGGCAGAGGGGCTCAAGCGGTCTCATTCTTGCCTGTACTGAGCCCCACACCACCGGCACTGCTCATGTACCCATCATGGTGATGTGCGGATGGGTATGTGTCAGTACAGACACACTCTATCACTTTAGCAAGAAAACCCTCAAGTTTAGCCCACATTTATTTCCTACCAGGTGGATTCTTTTCCCTGACAGTTTGAGAGGGTTCCTCAGAATTTCCCACAGATCCCAGCTTGCACATCTTCCCTGTGCTCGCAGCCCCAGCGATTCACCCAAAGGAGACACAAAGAGAGTGTATCAAGATAGATGAGATGAGAAAGGGTAAAAGGAATTATCCTAATAGGATGGGATGTTTATTGAGACATCCAGCTTTATGCTGTCATCACCATTGGTTGTGTATGGAGAATGTCTGCGTTGGAGAATTGCTACACACATAGCAGGGACCAGCTTAAAGAGTCTGTTGAACTAGAACCAGTAAGGAAACAGTGAGAAAATGACCACACAGAGGATATACAAAGAACCCAACTGAGAGACAGAAAAACTCTGCTCATACCTTAATTCATATGTGGCAATAGAAAACATACAGATAGCACCCAGTGGGGAAATAAAAGATTTTATATAGTCTAATCCTTTCAGTACTTCAGAAGACAAAGGCTGGCCATAGAGATGGTGTGACAGAGCACTCGATGGGAATGCAGAGGGATGGGCTGTAGCTGTGGGCTTAGTTCCTACTTCGGACTCATTCCCATGCTCCTCACAGCACTCCCTTCTCCCCTTCCTCTGGGTTCCTGCCTCCTTTTAAGCACAAT